TTTTAAAACCCTTTCGTGACTGACGGGATTTTTCGGTCCCTAACCACTATGTACGAATAGCATTGACGACGGTAAATGTATCCGATGTACTATAAGGTTAGAATGGATCCACCTATTGAGAATCCTGCCGTAGGTGAAGTTAGTGCATTTCTCCGTGCTCAAGTTTTCAAATCAGTTGACATTCATCGTTACATCAGTGAAGTTTTAGATGAAAAGTTATGAGTGATGGAATGGTGTAGAAATGGGTTAGGGCCTTTAAAAATGGCTGCACAAACATTCATGATGAGGGACGAAATAAAAAACCTTCCGTCATTACAGATAATCTAATTCAAACACTAGACTATAAAGTCCAAGTGTACAGACGATTCACGTTTTCGTCCTTAGCTGTAAAGTTTCCTGTTGTCTCAAAAAAATTTCGTTCATCACGAAAGCGTCTAATCAGGTTGCGGAAAGCTTATTTGACAATGGCAGACAAAAGCACAAAATCTGATCCCATGATACGATAAATGCATCAGCATTATTGGGAATTATATATAAAATTATGGCTTATCAGTTGAACAAATAACTTAAAAAATTTGCTTGCTTTTTTAAGTAAAAACGGTATTTCCTTTAAAAACATGCCTCATTATTTATAAGCTAAGAAATGACTACATATACCACATATTTCATTTTTATAAAGTTATGGTGACAGTTCCATCACCTGTTCTTCAACGCATGAAACATACGAATAATCTATAGAATGACTGAATTGACCCCTATGTTATTAAAATACAAATTAACCATTATCCGATCAAGTAACGGAGCAGCAATGCCATATTGGTCAATCTAAGTTGTAACCTTATGTGAATTCAGTTTTTCTATCAATAACATTTTTGAAATTTTTGGACTGATGATGGAACTGAACCTTTTGAAGGAAAATGTTATTGTGTTTTCTTGGCATTTTTTTACTTATAAAATTTTCATCAATTACGCAATATTTGTAATCATTTATAACTTCTGGTATTTGAGGGAAATTTATTTCTTGATATTTGTCAGCTACGTACCGGGGTTAGACAAAATAAGGAAAGCACCTAAGAATGATTAGGAATAGGAATAAATTATCAATAAGAATAGGGATTGATAATTAGAAATAGACTCGGGATTTAGGGGGAGGAGCTCGAGCCGTCTAGCGCGCTTGCGCGAGACCGACGGGGTATTTAAGAGCGAGAGTGCCGACCGCGAGGCAGTCCCGTACCGGTGTTTTAGAAGCATTCTGCCGTCTCGTTGACGCAGTGGCGCGTGTAGAGCTACTGGACGGCGTTTTAAATTATTATTAAGTATTAACTAACGGAAGCCATATCGTGAGCCTTATATACGATCTCCTACTGATAGTCACCGAAGTCAATTTCCACAAGCAAGTTTGCCGCAAGAGGAAAACTGATTGACGGCGTCGAATATCACCGAGAAGAGGAGCCATGACAGACTTGCTGTCGAGCTAGTTATCTTGAAGCCGATATCGAAGGACTACAGAGAAGAACTACCCGACCTGCGAAGATACTCATGTCTTACTTAGTTTTGTTCATCGGCAAACATCCTGCACCGAGCGACTTATTTCATCCTCGTGTTTTTGACGACTGCCGAAGCCACGATCGCGAAGGAGAATTTACGTAGCATCCCCGACTCCAGGAAGGTTACTGCAACCAACGACAACAGCCAGACCGCACTCAGCTTCGCCTTGGACTAGATCGTCTCAAACAAGCCGGTGATGTAATATTGTGAAGATTGAATTATTAGCGTGCATTGTAGCCACTAGATCTTAGCCTCGTTGGGAAATTCAAATACGGGTAGGCTAGGTCTAGGAATTTGTTGCCAGTCTTTTTACCGTGCTCAGCTCTGTATCAAGATAGGTTATTTTCTTCTCTTAGTATATGAAGTTTGATTATTGTTTGTGTCATTCTCCTTGTCAAATCGCATTGCCAGTAATAGAGAACCTCCATCGCGCCTCTTTTGACCACTCGGACAATGTATAGGAAAAACCAACCTGACAGTTAAAATGTTTATTTAAAAACTCCGCCGAGGATAAACTGGAATTGATAACTTACCGTAGGCTTTGAATCGTACAGTAAAATAAATAGCGAGTGCTACTATCGAACTCAAATCAAAGTTCAACCCATAAATTAAATCAAAATAGGAAGGAAGACATTCCAGTCTAATCAAGAAATCCACAAAATATATTTCAGTATGGTGTAGGTCCACCTTCGGCGGCTATTACATCCTCAATTCTCCGAAGTATTTATTCATACAATTTGAATTGTTTCCAAAGTTAAAGTTAAAACTCCCGCCAGCTCTTTTAAAGACGATGGCTGTCGCGTCCAGTACGCGTGCGACATGCACCTTTAGTTTGTAGCCTTACGGCGCGGAGCTATATTAGGGGTCGTAGCCTTCTGCCATTCATTACCGTTCTGCCGTTCCTTGAGGTGAGCTTCCGCTGAATTACTCTGTAGGCAAATTTGCTATAATTGTCATATTGTCTTGTTCATATTATAGTATTCAGATAACAGTTCTCCAGTGTAAAGTAAAATGTTTTTTTTTTTTTGCAGTGTAAAGTAAGCTTAAGTTCTCGTTGACAATTTAGCTGCATTTCAGCATTTAAATTAAAGACTAGGGGTACACACCATCCACGTAAGTTCTAATGATTTGTATCTGTTGCCGCGTTTATATTTATTTTAGCCGGAAGTTGTGCGATACTGAGATGTTGGTTAATAAATACCCATGTATATTTGTACTTGGTCAAAACTTAGATTTGTATTTTTCGTTTGTTCTGATGTGCGGAAATTTGTCCGCAGTTTTACAAGAAGAATAAGGAAACAAACTAGAATGACTACTTTTTTCCTTACCATTGTCTCTGCCTGGCTTAAGGAGGTGGCGGCGTTTGAATTTTGGCCAGGACAATGGCTTCTAGCTTGCATCTACAAAATCGGCCATAAATGCTCGATATTATTCAGGTCTGATGATTTGGTGGCCAAATGAGAAGCTTAAATTTATTAGAATGTTCCTCGTGCTATTTTTATATTATAAATCCAGCTGTATGGATCGGAGCATCATCTTCTGGAAAGATGGCGTTCCCCTCCGGTAAGGGTACTTGAAGCATTGGATGAAAATGGTCCTCCAAAATTCCTAAATAGTCACGGCTGTCGATTCTTCCATGAAGAAAAATCATTCGTCCACCTCATTCCCAAGAAATGGCACCCCATATCATCACGGATCCCCGCCATGTTTTACGGTTGCGAGGAGGCAGTCGGGATTAAATGACTCATTTGGTGGTCTTCAAACGTAAACTCGGCCAAATGTTGGTAATAAGGTAACCGATGATTCGTCACAAGAAATCACATTTTTCCGCTGCTCGAGCGACCGATTCAGGAGGTTTTTACACCACTCTAAGCGCTTTGGAGCATTTGTATTTGAAATCCGAGGTTTTCTAATTGCAGCTCTTCCATAGAATCCAGATCTGTGCAGCTCTCGGCTGGCAGCCTTTATGGAAACTGAGTTCTGTATGCGTCTATTGAGGTCTTCAGTAATTTTTACAGATTGTCCCTTACAACTCGATTTAGGTACCGACGGTCTCTTTCAGACAACTTAATTCGATTTTCGGCCAGAGCTGGGCTTTACTGAGGAGGGATTTCCTTTTCTGTCAAAAGCATTAGTACCTCTAGAATTGTCAAGCCTCCGGTAAGTTTCTGTCACACTAGCATCTGCCATACGGGTACCAACAATTTGGCCTCTTTAAAAATCAGAGAGGTGTGCCATTTATAGGTTAGGTTATAGACACAAAAATTTCTAAAAAATATCCCCGTGTAATGAAGTGTTGCTGCAAATTTCCCACTACTGTCTGTCAGACTATGAAGTTTAAGTAGGACCGACTCTGACGTCGGTGTTAAATTGAGTATAGCCGTCAGATACTATGCCGATCCCGACTTGCGTCCTGGTTCCTCTCTTAAGGTTATTAGACACAAAAATTTCTAAAAAATATCCCCGTGTAATGAAGTGTTGCTGCAAATTTCCCACTACTGTCTGTCAGACTATGAAGTTTAAGTAGGACCGACTCTGACGTCGGTGTTAAGTTCAGTATAGCCGTCAGATACTATGCCGATCCCGACTTGCGTCCTGGTTCCTCTCTTATATAAAGGATTTTGACTCAGACGCCAGGGATCGTGCGTTTTCTCGTATCTCAATGCTCTAGCTCTCTCCTCATATTTGCTCTCATTGCACTTTAACTTCCTCCGCATTTATTTTGTTAGCGTTAAATTCAGATGCCGCACCTGTTTGATTTGTTTAATTTCGATTTGCCGTTTATCTTTAATAAATAAATTTAAGAAAGTCTCTTGAGTAACTATCCGCTCAGTCCAAGCTCTTGCTGATAAAACCAATAGGGAAGTTGAATTTAATTTCCGGTCATTGGTGGACGTGACAATTAGACCATCCGAACTTTGAGGTGACGCGATTGATTAGCTATTATTCAAGATTAGTTCGTCACACCCCGCAAAGATAAAATATCAATTTGGGGCAATGATAAACAATAAACGAAACATATGTCAAGTTTTCATTGTTTATAACATGTTCACATATTACGATATCAAAATGTCAGGTGTTTCCCTTATCTTGTCCAACCCCTGTATATTTATGGGATTATTTCGTGCTCCGAATATAATTGAAGATATTTTCTGTTCAATGATAGAATTCGTGAACGATGTCTGTTGTGTTGAGAATTGACAGTCATTTACATCGTCTCCCTGTACAGCTCACACAAAATCTCTGGAATAAATTGATTACGACTTTAAATTTGACCGAGCAATCCAACTAATGGTGTTATTGACATCCAAAATGGGTAGTTCCCTTCTTCGGATGTTTGAATTACTTAACACTTCCTGTTTGACGAAGATTAGATCATGCGTATAAGGCCTGTTGAATTCCATGTAGTGTATGTAACCTTTGGACTTCATGAGGTCTATCAGAGCAGGCTTCCCTTCTGGGATGAGATTGTACTCCACGGATAACGTCTGCGAGGAAGCAATTCACAAGCATGCATTAGATCCCTATTTTCACAAATAAAAAATTATCTCATCTAAAACTCTTGTTTGAAACGCAACTCGTTTTTCATATAAGTGATGAACATCTTAATGAATGAATTTATTGCATATGAATTCGGTCAATCGAATTGGCAACGTTTGAGCGAATATTGCATTAGAGCGAGTGCAGGTTTCACCTTGATATCGAGCTTGTCCCAGGGGATGGACTGCAGGACTTTGTACTCGGAACTTTCTACGTCGAGGCTGAAGTAGTCGACGGTGGTGGTGCCCAGTGCGAGTAGAAAAGAGTACAGCGGAAAACATTTAGCGCTGCTCAGGTCTAATGAATCGCCCGGATAGCTTAAATCTTGATGATTGTATATCCTTCCTGCGTATTTTTCATTCTTAAACACCACCTGAATTGAACAAGATATATTATTACAAATAATTACAGAGCAAGAATAATGTTTTCCGTTTGTTTCATGGTCATCTTCACGCATGCTAGGAGTGACAGCCTAATATAATAGTATTTATTTATTAAAACAAAAAAATGTTTCCTATCGTGCGTATGCAGGTATGAATATTGCCTTGTAATATTCCCGTCATTTTCTGCTACGTTACGGTGCAGGTCTGCACAATTTATTTTATAGATATAATATCAATGAATTGCGATATCTAATATGGATCGCTAATTTACGACAACCACTTTATCCGCCAAGAGGTGACGGTGGATTGGTGGTGTTCTCACTCATGTAACCTACCTTGGCTGCTGCTCTCGTCTCTCCGATGCACGCATTAGCTGAGTGAACTTTCCGATTTCTTGACAATAATTTCTTAAAGTTCCTCGGGTTCGGCTCTATCAAGATCCCGGTCCAATTACGTTGGATTTCGAAAAATAGAGTGTTGCTCACCACTTCCCCCGTGTAGCCTCCACTTTCGACGTAAAAGCCGTTCCGCTGTTGGAGATAAATAGATCGTGGTTGACACCATAGTACAAATTGTAGGGCTCGGTGGAGGGAGGCACGATCACGTGCTGGCGGATGTACTCGATCAATCTCGGGTCATCCTCGTTCAAACCAACGAAATCTGTAGCAATGAAAGCAATCATTTATTAAAACTGCGTCATAAAAGTGACACTAAAACAGTGTTTTAGTGCTTATTTTATGCTGCTACAATATAAAATTTAAATAGCGAAAGATTTAATTTTTTCTACGATGGACTGTTTTTTGTATTAAGTCATGAGCAGTGCTCGGAAATATTCATAATTTTTGATCAGTTTTTTTGACATGGCTAGGACCTTCGTTGTTTCAGAATACATCCGTTGCCATCTTGCTCTGCAAATCAATTCGCTCTGTGGCTTTTAAATAGGAAAGGCCTTTATAGTAGGTACTCGTACCTTTATAGCAGGTACTCGTACCTTTATAGTATGTAGGTACTCGATATAGTAGGTACTCGTTCCGCTCGTAAATAGGTACTTACGAGTGCCTCAAGTATGAAATAAGTAACCGACAAATATTTGATAAGATTTGATCCCAGAATTTTCGTTCCTTTACTTAGAAAATGGAATAAGTAGTGTATTATTTCCAATAGGTTTCATTGAACCCAATTTTCTCCAAAAATAAATATTGGCGTTTGCGAAACAAAAAAAAATCTAATATCATGTTAGGAATCTGTTTTAAAAATATGAAGTGAAATGTCCTAAAGCGAATGTTTCGTCGCGTTGTTTAGTTCTCATTATATTTCACCAGGGCAAGAATAAACTGAAGGGCAAAACATAATCAAGAGCATTTTAATCGCTCGAAGAATATTCAACACTTTAGACATGAGTAAACTCTTTTATTATTTTTCGGTAGTTTTTAAGTTTCATCGCAACAGCGAAAACTTACTATCGACATTACCCATAAATTTCTATTCCGATAACAAATCATTGGACTTTATACATAATTTTCAATTTAAGAATGAAATTCGATGAACGAAGCAAATCGTCTTACCTTCATCCTCGGTAGCCGCTGCCTCGAAGCTGATCACTTGGGTGAGCTGCGCGGGCTTGTATGAGCTGATCAGCGAGAACAACACGACGCACGATAAAAACAGAACACATTTTACTTTGAAAGATCTCTGTACCAAACTTGGTACGGCAATAAGCATGATTGTGATGCGTGAAATAAGTATTAGATTCTTCTACGATGTTGAATCTGTGTACATTGTAAGTGGAGTATCTGTTCTGTCTGGTGATACTATTGAACATGAGGATGATACAATTAAATCGGGTTATTACCTGATAACTCGATATATGCTAGATAATTATGACAGCGGGTCATGAGAAGTCAAGAAAAAGTAAGGACTATGAGAGCAACAAGTTGTGATTGATTCATGTCGAGGAAAGTTTTTGAACAATTTACCGTATATGCCGGGTTACAGATTTATTTTTGTGCTATGCTAGTTTATTTAGAGCACTCCTTGTATTCATTCAACTATATTATAGTTATAAACTAGCTTAACTGCCTGTAAACACGATAAGTTTAACTTTTTACTGCCTCTCGATTCATTCAGCTTCGATTGCCGATGGCTAGTGAGCTTCGAGAGTTTTATGGTCTACTAATTATAATTTACAATTGATTCATTAAAATGTTGTAGATTGTGAAAACTACGGACTATTTTCAACTATATATTCTGTCTAATTCCAAAATTGAATTGAGGTTAGTGAAGTGATGCGCGCACACAATCTTATTTGAGCGATGCTAGCTGCTATAATATTTTAGTCAAGGAAACTCGGTTGAATCAAGCCTCGACAAACACTCAATCTTTAAGCCATGAAATATCCTTGTTCCGTATCATGGAACACGCATGCACTGCAAAATGATTGATTTTTCCTGCTCCTTTCACTGTCTCAGATAAAATATACGGTCGTTTTATTCACAATCTGTTAAACGATGCGGCTATTAAATCCTAAATTTTCAGGCCATTGGATTGATCGGCATTGATAAAAAAAATATCGGCTTTTTCGAACTGGAAATTATTGATTTATTTGGATAAAATTTTCCCACCATTAATAATTTTCGTCGTTCTTCGTTCATTTCTGTTGGTTCAATTTCGTCTGTTGTTCATGTATTCAGATGCTGAATTCAAGTTTCGTAGTTTAAGTAGGTAGTATAGTCGCAGATGGGGTAGGAGGATTCATGTACCATCATTCCATGCAGTCACATATCCAGCATATTGACCACAATATAATTCAATCATTATCTTCGCCAAACGAGTAGTTCACTTGTATTTATTCACCTGAACAAGCCTTAAGTGTGGTTAATTTAACTTCAACCGGCACAGCATAAGCAATTCCTTAACTTTATTACTTTATTACTAATTACTGCTTCACTATCTTTTTGTTTGATCTATCTATCCTAAATAAATCTATTTATTTTTTCTTAAATTTATTTACGCTCTGTATTTAATTATTCTATAGTACTCTATAGAAAAATCAATGATCAATTCTTTTTAAACTCAAGTTTCATTTTAACTGTGAACAGTCTCCAATGCTTGCCGAGGAAACGTTCCCTCAGCTAGAACTCGCGTTCTTCACCTTTTTCTTTACTTTCCAAAGCTAAGTCTTCAACTATACTTTTCTATTTTCCATCTAGAGCACCTTCCTTTTTCTGACTTCTTCATTATTTCTAATTTGCCACCTTCTAACAGCAGGAGCACTATAAGACACATCAAAATCTTAGGTTTGTCAATTTTGTCTATCGTTTCTGTGTAATTATTTGAGTCATGCCCGTGATTGTCTCTCATATGTAGAATTTATCCCGGCTGTTGGTTAAATTAGTTAATTTTCTTTACATTATATTATCATATCATGGACTCGCAGGTGACGCTATATTTTGCTGCAATCATCTTTACTGCAAGATTGAAATTGCATCGTCCTTTGTGTATATATACTCCAGTATATAAATATTTGAATTCAGCCTCCTTATAAGAAATGCCCGATCAACGCCAGTTTAACTTTCATATTTTCAATTTCAAAAAAGTATCAGCTAAATCTATTTATGCTCTATATTTTGTCATATTGTGTGTCAATCATAATTCAACACATAATTTAATTTATTCACAATAATGCGTCACGAATTGTGTAGGTTATTTGATTGATGTTGAAATCTTATCCTTAAGCGTCATTAAACGATTTCATTTCAATGGAAAGATAATTTGTACAAATTATCTTCTGTCTCAGACAGCTTTATCGTCACCGGATGAAGTAAATGCCGACGAAGTAAAAATTAATAAGGCCTATATTCTAAGCTTTGTATTCTATCATCAAAATAGTGATCTATATACATTTTTCAAATCCGTTTGTACAATAGTTCGTGTGTATACTCAAATATATTATACGTTTCAAATTTGTTTGTATAATCAATTTTATAGGTCGAAATAGCGTACGTTGAACATTATTGCATTTATGCAAAATGGACTTCATCGCAGAATGGCTTTCATAGAAGTATCTTATACGTTTGAAATCCGAGAGGAATTACAATAGTTACGTCCTAAATTGCTGTGAGATTTCAAATCTAGTGATTATTCTGAAATCGATCTTTAATTATAAATCAAAATTCTGCTAAGCCTAAATTGCGTTCAATACCAAACAGTTTCGGCGCTGTTCATGGCAATTTAATTAAGAACCACACATGCACTAATATTAATTAACAGGTTTGTGTATAGGATGAAGGATGCAAGTTTAACCCTCAATGATGCAGAATAATTGAAGGTTGACTTTCATCAGGAAGACTCCAGTGTTGTAGTCTACCTGCAATAGGCAGCTTTAAAATGACATAGAGCCGTGTTAGGTATTTGGATGTAAAAGAACACATCGCTTGTTCGGTTGCAGTAATTTTTTCAAGTTACATTTTTCTTGGCACGACCTTCTTTTGAGGCGTCATCATCGTAAAACAAAGAAGCCAGGGGGCATTTAATTTTTTCAGCAGCGTCACTACTGCAGCCGGCGTGATTCACTCCATATGCTTGACTTCGATGGCTTCACGAACGTCCCTGTGATTATTTTATAGGGCAACATTGGGCAGCGCGCCCCCCCTTTTTTAAACTTAATTTGTGATAAAGTTTTAATTGATACGAGGTGGTTCTTTGTTTTGTTTAAAGGTACAACTAATGAGGATTGTATGATGTGAATTAGACGCCTACAGATTTATTTAATTTTTAATGAAACACTATTTTGTAAAAATTGTCAAAATGGGCCCATTGCCCCAGGGGTGGGGCAATGGGCCAATGGGCTTGGAGCAAGGCGTCCACCCTTGGTCCCTTTACCTCAATTGCATATTTTTCGTTTAAAAATGATAAAACAACACTTTACAGTTGAAAATAAGAAAATTTTAATAAAAAATATGACATTTATTCATTTATTAACAACTCAAAAAAATCATATCCTTAACTTGAAAAAATATACTCTTGGCTAAAAAAATCAATAACTGACGTGAAGAAAAATAATTCATTGACACAAAAATATATATCTTGACTTGAAAAATATATCATTGCGATAAAAAATTCGCCCTTAACATGAAAAATGTATCCTTGACTAGAAAAAATATATTTAGTTGATCAGAAAAAAACATCGTTCCAGTTTCGTCCATAATCCAGATATTATGTGCAAAGAATTCGTACTTATAATCGTGATTTCAGCCAACACCATAAAAACTCATCAACTTTTGGCTCATTGGTGTTGAGTGAAATCAACTTTTGGCAAGGCAAGAGTCAATAACTCGATAAGGGGTCATAAATACGCATAAAAACTAGAAACTAAACCTGCTGCCTTGAGGCGGCAAATTAAAAAATCATGCAATATGAAGTGTAATTTGTAATTCAAAAAGCTAGTCATAGTTTTGAAAAGGTCATTGAGACAAGTCTAATTATGTATAACACATGACTTCACCATGGGCGCTTTGCCCCGTGACACGCGTGGGCCCGTTGGCCTACTAGGTATCATTTCAGTTTATATAGTGTCAACATTTTATTTTAAAAGCTAATAGTCTAAAGTTGATCTAAAAATTATCCCTATAAATATTACTTTCAAAATATAATTCACAGTAATTTCAAAAGCTTCATCTACAGTAATCGAAAAAATTTTTATTTAGCAGCAAAAAAATTTTTTATCTGGGCAAAAACAGTTATTCACAAATAACTTAATAACGCAAACACTTAGCAAAACGTAAATCCGTACACTTCATCCCAGTAAAACTGTCGACCGGCGGTAGAGAACACGGACCAATATCTGCCATACTTAGCGAGAAACCCGCTATGGGCCCATGACCCGCAGTGGGCTCGCTGTCCCATGTTACCCTATAGGTCCAAACTTTGCACACTTAGTACCGGTTTCATCTAATGTTTCTAACTGCAAGTGATTGGGAGACATTTATCAGCAATGCAGATGCTTTTTCAATCAAAATCCAATCATTCAACTTCGTTTTCTCGCTCTGCATATTCTTCCACCCTCCGCGAGTTCGGGATTAAATTAAGTCGTTGAACGTACTGATTCCATTTGTACTTGAAAGGTCGCTGCTCAAGTGTAGACTCGATAATTATAGTATTGAATTACAATGGAGACACGTTTCTCCATAAGTAGGCGGGTTCTTCTGTCACCACCATCCTAAATGGTTTTCAAAGCATTAATATATGTTTTTTTTTTTTTGTTACATAACATTGAGCTCGAATTTAGTCAGTGCTTCATCGAAATTTTCATAGTAATTGTAAGTCGTTATTTCTGTTTACCAGTCAACTTCAATTGATTTCACCTCTATCATTATACCTTATGGACAATTCTTAGGGTAAATAATTCAAAATAACTTAATTGAAATGTTCCAGAAATCGTGTTTCGTAATTTCCTACTCTTAGAGAATTATTTTACTTTAATAACTAAGCAGCAGTAGTTCGTAATTTTTCGATGCCTATATATATCGATGACTTCGATGCAAAATCATTAAATCATAAGACATGGGGCGGAAGGTTACAGCTCAGCTCTTATTGCAGTAGCAGTTTGTTGCAGCTTGACAAATTGGACCAGTTGAACTCACGTCATGCTTTGAAGAGTCGGGAGCGGGTGACGTGGGGTTGGACGTTCGCTGCTGTTCACAGCATAAACATTTTAGTTGGAGCAGCACCCAAATTTTCCTGTTGCCCTTTCGATCATTTTGGTATCGAAAGTATTGACTAAACTGTACAAAGTAATGGTGTAGTAAGTTGCACGTTTCCTACTTTCAGTGATAAACCGAAGATGAAGCTTGACCAGCTCCGACGTCGGCTGGCTTCTTACTTCTTAGTATCTGTCAGCTAGTGTATGAGCTGCTTGATCCCAACTACATAACATAACATAGTGATCTCGGCGCTGAATTGTAGGCCTGATGTGGCCTGTCGCCTGGCCACACACAAAACTGGCGTATTGCTTCCTCTCTATCTTCGGATTCCACTCTTACGCCGAGGTAAGTCATGGTGTACACACATGAGATAGTGCTAGGATCAGAGATCGTTGAATAATATGTCACATCTTAACTAAGTACTGGTTTTGCATTTTTTAGGCATTCACTGATATTTTTGTTATTCTCGCACCCAGCTCCACTCTTTTTCTGCATGCGATTTATCATATTTTTGTATACCATTTAACTCGATATGTTTTCAATTCAGCTGCGGTCATTTGCGTTTAAAATCCCTTCCAACCGAAATCCTCGCTTTTTAGCCATTATAATTTACATCCGGCCATTGGTGGGCGTGTCAGGGGTGTCAACTAATCCGAGCGCGGGAGGTGACACGACCGGGCATCTGAATGTCGTAGGACGGTTCGTCACTTAAAGTCAACCGCGAATGTATCGAATATCCTGCTTTATTTTATTTGCTTCGATTGACTATCGAAACGAAAGATATTAGTGTTAACCGAAAACGATTGGGATAGTATTTTATTGAGTAAATTTTCAAACATTGGTGAAATTCCTGCTAGTCTCGCGATACTAGGAGGAGGGGTTATTCATCAATATTGCATTCAGTTAAACGTTGCACAAGAAACCATCATTTTCTATTGTGTACTCAACTTTGCATTGTTCACTTGACATGAGATCGATGCGCGAACGTATCCTGAACCTATTTATTGTCCACCTTCATTGTATTATGAACTTGAATTGAGAAAGGTACGCAAATGTGCCTATTGTGCATTTTATTCAGTCATTCCAAAGCCTAACTCTTAATCTTAAAGTTGTCACTCGACATGCCGCTATCTCTCAAAAACGCTTGGGTCATAACCAGAAATTCTTTTACAATTTTACCCTAAGATGCTTCACAAACAATTCCCATGACGTGGCGTTGCGTTGCTTACTTCATCGGAGGGCTCAAAAAGTCATTGCGGCAAGTACATTTTATGGTAAAATATCAGTAACGTGAATATTAAAATGATTTGATTTCTTAACATAAAATTTGCAAAGAACTTGCAAGCAAAGGAAATTACAATAAAATCCATTCAATTACAACAACTGATGATGGTGCTAGACTGCTAAACCTTGTCAACGAAAATGTGAGTGTTTTTTCTGCATTTTATCTGCTCTCAAATTCTTCTTCAAGAGCGGAATTTTTGTGAGCAGTTATAACCTCAGATTATAGAGGTAAATTTCATTTTGGATATTTGTCAGCTTCAAATATCATTCGCGTTCTTTTCATGCCTTGAATATACTTTAAATTATTTTTTAGTTCAGGATGCAGTTTTTGACCAGTGTATACGCTGTATTAACAACCAACTATCATATGCATCATCTCATTTTAAAGCTTACACAAAATCTTCAGAATGACTTGATTACGACTTCAAATTAGACCGTGCAATCCAGCTAATGGTGTTATTGTTATCCAAAATTGGGAGTTCCCTCTTTTTGACGTTTGAATTATCCAACACTTCCGGTTTGACGAAGATAAGGTCATGTGAATTAGGCCTGTTGAATTCCATGTAGTGTATGTATCCTTTAGACTTCATGAGGTCTATCAGAGCAGGCTTCCCTTCTGGGATGAGGTGGTACTCCACGGATAAAGTCTACGGAAAGTAATACACATGACAGCGACGAATCCCTATTTTTCATTAAATTAGGTATCCTTCAATCTCACATGCACACTTGAAACGCAGTGCCTGTTCGTAAATAAGTTCTGAAATGTATGATGAATAATTTTTAAGCGTTTGAATGTATTCACCAAATCTAACTAGCAACATTTGATAGAATATTTCAAGTGAAGCATTCACCTTGATATCGAGCTTGTCCCAGGGGATGGACTGCAGGACTTTGTACTCGGAACTCTCGACGTCGAGGCTGAAGAAGTCGACGGTGGTGGTGCCCAGTGCGAGCAGGAACGAGTATACCGGAAAACATTTTGCAATGCTCAGGTCCCATGGGTACCCAATTTTGTAATAATCTCGAAAGTGGAATATGTCTCCTTTGGTATATTCGTTCCTGAACACTACCTGAAATTATCACGAAATTAATTGCGAGAGAAGAAATGAGTACAATTTTTTATAGCGAGATTTCTTTTTGTTGATATTCACTCATGTAATGAGTAATAAAAATACATATTTATTTTTTTTTTCGTTCTAATGCTTCCTGCTATTTATTCATTAACATTTGCCTTGATTATTTTGAGTTTAGACGGCGTCTTCGTTACACATTTTCTTGAATTGTTCGTTAATTTCGAAGCCTCGCATTGTCAAATATTGACTTATTACGATGATTGTATCTGCCGCTCGGTGATTTTGATGAAAAGCCAGTTCTAGATGCTGAGTTTACTCTCACGTGCCTTACCTTAGTCGCTGCTTTAGTCTCTCCGATGCAAGCATTAGCTGAGTGTACTTTTCGATTTCTTGACAATAATTTGTTAAAGTTCCTCGGATTTGGTTCTATCAAGACCCCGGTCCAGTTGCGTTGGATTTCGAAAAATAGAGTGTGGCTCATAACTTCCCCAGTATAGCCTCCACTCTCGATGTAAAAGCCGTTCCGCTATGTGAAGAGAAAGGATCATTTTAATTAAGCTGAGAGAAAAGATGAAGATCTTTAAGACAACTACATTTTAAACCTATTAGCTTCTGAGTTGGTGTGTCGATGACCCCAACAAGGTATGCCTCTCGAAATGTTTAAAATTCTTTAATTTCATTACTTGGGCTTTTTGATCCATAAAATTTTAAACAAATACAAAACTTTGGTGGGAAGATTATGTTACCTTGTGGTTTAACAGTTCGTCGACCGCTTTCGGCTCAAGTCTGACCTTTGCAATGTCAGACTATCTCCATGTAAGATCTATATTTACATTACAAACTATCTGTGCTTCATATGTTTCAAGTTTAAGTAATTTGTAAATTCTCTGGAAATTTATATAAGGGCAAGATTCCCACAAACGCTCCTATTATGAATTTGAAATATAAGGAAGGATGATTCCATCTCTCACCACTATCCTCCATGCAGGAGCATATCTTATGCAGGAGCATATGTTCAGTCTTAAAATGCCTAGTAAACTACGGACCAGGCAATAAGTCCAGCAGCTATCTCAATCAATCGTAGCCCCAAAAAAACGTGGGTCGGGCTGTACGTTCACCATCAAATTTCCAAAATTCGTGTGTTGTGTGCTTTTCGCTTTAATCATAAATCTGCCCGATACACGTTTTTTGGGGCAAGTCATAATTTATTTTCTACTTTTTAGTCCACAAGAAAAACGTGTTTTTAAAGAGCTTTTTTAAGTATTTTATAGATATATTATCAATGAATTGCGGTATCTAATATGGATCGCTAATTTACGACAACCACTTTATCCGCCAGGAGGTGACGGTGGATTGGTGGTGTTCTCACTCATGTAACCTACCTTGGCTGCTGCTTTAGTCTCTCCAATGCACGCATTAGCTGAGTGAACTTTCCGATTTCTTGACAATAATTTCTTAAAGTTCCTCGGGTTCGGCTCTATCAAGATCCCGGTCCAATTACGTTGGATTTCGAAAAATAGAGTGTTGCTCACCACTTCCCCCGTGTAGCCTCCACTTTCGACGTAAAAGCCGTTCCGCTGTTGGAGATAAATTTGTGATAGGTCGCCATTAATAAGCCACACTATCAACTCAAGCATGAGGCGGACATTCTCCAATGGGTTAAAATAAGAAATTCTTATGATCTCAGACTATATTGATGTAATCTCTATGTATTACTGACTATCTCTGATATATATGTTTCAAGTTGGGATATTTGTCAATTTTCCAAAAGGAGAATTGGCAGGAATAGATTTTCATATTCGTTCCTATAATGAATCTAAACTATTAGGTGGATAAAAATGTATAATATATACATATATAAATATAGAATAAAATGTACATATATATAAATATATAATAATCACCTTGTGGTTTAACAATTCGTCGACCACTTTCGACTGGCCGTCGGAAGGATCGTGGTTGACACCATAGTACAAATTGTAGGGCTCGGTGGAGGGAGGCACGATCACGTGCTGGCGGATGTACTCGATCAATCTCGCGTCATCCGCTTCTAGACCCGAAAAGTCTAAAAAAATTCAACAGATTTATCTATTCTCACATTGACTTTTCAACAATTTTTGCATAGAAAGTCGACTTATTACGTTCAACAAATCATAGCGATTAATATTCGTACCAGAGTAATGAGCTTTCTATTTTCCCCTCAATTAGATTCCCTTCGACGTGTTATAAGGCCGACATTTGTGTGTTTTTACATGCACTTTTCCGTCTTTGTTTATACCATGAAGTAGGCACTCATGAGGAAAAATTCATTGCTGCTCTTCTTTGCAACGTCATTAACCTTGGAGGCAAAGTCCTTATTTTTTGTTACGATCCTATGTAAAATTTGGCACGAAATAGCGTACGGGAAAACCACCAGGAAAAAGATGAGTTTAAATACAGCCATGAAAAAATTTACGATAAGATGAAAAAATATGTATCTATTAACTTTCTTATAGTGTATCCGAGGACAAAGTTATAAAGTATAAGCAAATCAAACATGATGTCACATTAGCACGATTATTAAATTTTCAAATGTTTTTGAACAGAATTGCAAAAAGCTGTCGACTGAGAAACAAATTGAGATAACCGTTCCGCGTTTTGTAAAAGAACTATTTGTTTGATGCCATTTTTGCTAGATAGTTGTTGCGTTCGGTTTACTACCACAGAAAATGTAATCTTTCATTTTAGTAATTCAGCTCACTCCCCAACAAGTTTATTCGAGTTTCTTCCATACATAAAATATTTCGTTATTTCTAACAGTTTCTCGTTCACAATGCGCTGAATTTAGGCTTAAATGGCAATTTTACAAATCTGTCTTTTATTTCACAACTTCGAGCTTACTTTATTTCAAATTTTATACTCGTGCGATATTTTATAAGGTTTGCTTGCCAACCACAATAGCTCATGCATTGATGGATGAAAAACATCTCACTCGAAAATTTTGGCTTGATGCATATTCATGAAATGTAAAGACTATCCCGTATAGCTTTCACTGCGAGCTAACTAAACTCCGTGTTATAATAACTTTGTTATATAATAAATTATTTTTAACTGGATAACGCCTACCTTTGAAGCGATCACAAAGATTGGAGCAAAATTACTAAGATGGGTAGTTAACGATAACATTGTACACGTTAAAAGCATGGCGGAAACACGAATGGATCACAAATAATCATTACTTAACGTTAATTTGTACGAATGACTCTGTGTCATTTACAGTTGATCAACTGTTTCTTTGGTTTTTTACAAAGTATTTTTTAATCGAGTTGTGATGTCGCACTTAGTTGACGGGACCGGAGGATGAAGGTTCCACGGGTCTCAATCACCATCTTTTACTCAACATAATTACGATACACAATCAGCAATGTATATTTCTGAACTTGTTGAATACGTATCTAAACATTTAAACAAAATAAACATGTTTTGGAATAAAGTTAGCCAAGGATTTCCTTACTTGGAGAACCCCGATAAAATTGTGCATTGATTTCCGTTTTATCGGATTTGACAAATTTTCACGATAATTTTTTTAAGTGTATAGTTATCGTACTCGTGTAAAAAAATCACTTCTAACAATTTAACATTCCATCTATGTTAGAATACGAACTCTAAAATTAACCATCATGTAATTCATTCAAATCTTATTAGGTTTGGACAAGTCAATGGACATAATCAATTGCTTTACGTAAAATTAAAAAGTTAGTGAAAAATTGGCTTCACTTTAGAATGTTTAACGTAACATTTGTACTTTCATGCAAATCATCTTACCTTCATCCTCAGGCGGCGCTGCCACAGAGCTGACCAGTTGGACAAGATGCGCGGGCTCGTATAAGCTAATCAGTGAGAACAACCCGACGCAGGATAAAAACAGAATGCATTTTACTGTAAAAGATCTCTGCACTAAATATGGTACAACCTTCAACATGATTGTGATGCTGATATTATCCAATACGCCCGTAAATTAGCGAATACATATGGGTAAATATCTCTCCGGTGATAGGATGATCCTTCGCATGAAATGAACTTGGACCATTATCTGCTAACCAAATATAAATTACAGATATATAGGTGTGCCTGTCTTGGGTTCGGAAAGGTAAGTGAGGAGCGTCCTGCATTAATGCCCTAGCAGCCTTCATTAATTATATTGGTGGACGAGGAAAGTTTGAAATGAATTGAAGCAGCCGCCATGTTTTGCTCGAATTATCAAGTTGTGGCCTATCAGGGTGGAAAAGCAATGTTTTCCCGGTATAATAAACAATTATTTATGGTAAAATTTAGATTGATCTTGGAATACTTTTTCCGATTTTATTTTTGCTGTTTAGTGAGAACAATATCAGCTAAAAGCCGTAATTTTCCATTGATACTTGTCATAAAAAGTAAACTTTTTGCTGACGAATATGCCGAACTCATTCAANGAATCGTCAGCTATGGAAAGATCGGGTTCCAAAGGCCGGATCCCCTGTGAATCATGTCACGAAAAGTTCAAGAATCGGCAACAGGCCATGGGCCTATTTCTTCAACGCCGACACTTCTATTCTATTCTATAATCACCTTATGATTTAACAATTCGTCGACCACTTTCGACTGGCCGTCGGAAGGATCGTGGTTGACACCATAGTACAAATTGTAGGGCTCGGTGGAGGGAGGCACGATCACTTGCTGGCGGATATACTCGATCAATCTTGGGTCATCCTCGTTCAAACCAACGAAATCTGTAGCAATGAAAGCAATAATTTCTTAAAACTGCGTCATAAAAGTTATACTAAAATAGTGCTTTAGTGCTTATTTTATGCTGCTAGAATATAAAATTCAAATAGCGAAAGATTTTATTTTTTCTACGATGGACTGTTTTTTGGTATTGCATTGATGATTGAAAAAACTTAATCTCTTTCATTATTTTAAGCTCTTAAACTTAATTAAACTCTTTAATTATTTTTTGGTAGTTTATTAATTTTCATCGCAACAGCGAAAACTTACTATCGACATTGCCCACTAACTTCTATTCCGATAACAAATCATTGGACTTTATACAAAATTTTTAATTTAAGAATGAGATTCGATAAACAAAGCAAATCGTCTTACCCTCATCCTCGGTAGCCGCTGCCTCGAAGCTGATCAGTTGGGCGACCTGCGCGGGCTTGTATAAGCTGATCAGCGAGAACAACACGACGCACGATAAAAACAGAACACATTTTACTTTGAAAGATCTCTGTACTAAACATGGTACGGTTATCAGCATTATTGAGGTGCCGCTTTTCTAAATGATCTCACGATTATTTCACAGTGCGTGCAAAATAGCGGATGTGTGTATGTGGAATATTTGTTTGCTAATAAGATTATTTTAAGCATTAAATTATTATTCTATAGTACTCTATAGACAAATCAATGATCAATTCTTATTAAACTCGAGTTTCATGTTTACTGTGAACAGTCTCCAATGTTTGCCAAGGAACACGTTCCTTGTATATATATACTCCAGTATATAAATATTTGAATTCAGCCTCCTTATAAGAAAGGCCCGATCAACGCCAGTTTCACTTTCATATTTTCAATTTCAAAAAGTATCGGCTAAATCTATTTATGCTCCATATTTTGTCAAATTGTGTGAGTCAATCATAATTCCACACATAATTTTAATTTAAGGGGACATTTAATTTTTTCATCAGCGTCACTACTGCAGCCCCCGTGATCCACTCCAAATGCTTGAGTTCAATGGCTTCACGAACGACCTAATGATTATTTTATTTAGGTCCAAACATTACACACTTTGTACCAGTTTCCCCTATTGTTTCTAACTGTAAATAATTGCGAGACATTTATCAGCAATGCAGATGCTTTTTCAGTCAAAATCCAATCATTAATCTTTGTTTTCGCGCTCTGCATATTCTTCCATGCACTCTCCGCGAGCTCGGGGATAAAGTCGTTGAACTGACTTCATGTGTACTTGAACATCGCTGCTCGAGTTTGGCCTCGATAATTTTAGTATTGGATTAAAACGGAGATACGTTAATTTCTCCGTAAGTATGTGGGTTTCTCTGTCATCACTCTCCTCAACGGTTTCTAAAGAATAAATATGTGTATTCGCACTTTAATAACTGAGCAGCAGTAGTTCGCAATTTTGAGATGCCTATCGTCTATCGATGACTTCGATGCAAAACCATTACATCCTAAGACATGAGGTGGAAGGTTACAGCTTAGCTCTTATTGCAGTAGCAGTTCGTTGCAGCTTGACAAATTGAACCAGTTGAACTCACGTAATGCTTTGAAGAGTCGGGAGCGGGTGACGTGGGGTTGGACGTTCGCTGCTGTTCAGTGCAATAACATTTTAGTTGGAGCAGCACCCAAATTTTTCCGCTGTCCGAACAATCATTTTGGTATATAAACTATTGAATAAACTGTACAAAGTTGTGATGTAGTAAGCTGTACATTTCCTAGTTTCAGTGATAAACCGAAGACAAAGCTTGACCAGCTCCGACGTCGGCTGGCTTTTTAGTATCTGTCAGCTAGTGTATGAGCTGCTTGATCCCGGCCGGCGTATTAATAATAATAATAATAACGGTTTCTGCGTTTTATAGGCCGTAGGCCTATACCTTGTTTAAAAAGGTATGTAAAGAGGTAAAGGTAAAAGGTTTAAAGGTATGTTACATCTGAACTAAGTACTGTTTTTTTTAGGCATTCCCTGCTACAGTATTTTTGTTTTAATATCACGCACATATTCTCGCTCCCAGCTCCACTCTCTTTCTACATGCGATTTATCATATTTTTGTATACCATTTAAATCGATATGTTTTCAACTCAGCTGGGGTCATTTGATTTTAAAATCTCTTCCAACCAAAAACCTCGCTTTTAGCCATTATAATTAACATCCGGCCATTGGTGGGCGTGTCAGGGGTGTCAACTAATCCGAGAGCGGGAGGTGACACGACCGGGCATCTGAATGTCGTAGGACGGTTCGTCACTTAAAGTCAACCGCGAATGTATCGAATATACAACTTTCTTTTATTTGCTTCGATTGACTATCGAAACGAAAGATATTAGTGTTAACCGAAAACGATTGGGATAGTATTTTATTGAGTAAATTTTCAAACATTGGTGAAATTCCTGCTAGTCTCTCGATACTGGGAGAAGGGTTTATTCATCAACTACTGGATTCAGTTAAACGTTGCACAAGAAACCATGCATCATTTTCATTTTCTATTGTGTACTAAACTTTTTACATTGTTCACTTAACATGAGATCGTTGCGTGAACGTATCCTGAGCCTATTTATTGACCACTTTCATTGTATGATAAACTTGACTTAAGAAAGGTGCGCAAATGTGCCTATTGTGCATTTTATTCAGTAATTCCACAGCCTCTTAACTCTTAATCTGAAAGTTGTCACTCGACACCCCGATATCTTTCTAAAATGCTTAGGTCACAACCAAAAATTCTTTTACAATTTACAAAAGATCGGGTTCCGAAAAGTACAAGAATCGGCAACAGGTCATGGGCCTATTTCTTCTATTCTATTCTAATTCTACCCTAAGATGCTTTACAAACAATTCAGATGCTTATTTCATCGGATGGCTCGAAAAGTGCTTGCGGTAATTTATTTTCAGGAAAATATCAGTAACATTAATATTAAAATAATCTGATTTCTTAATATAAATTAGCCAAGAACTTGAAAGCAATGAAAATTACAATAAAATCCATTCAATTACGAATACTGATGGTGTTGCTGGACTGCTAAACCTTGTCAACGAAAAATTGAGTATTTTTTGCCTTTTATTTGCTTTCAAATTCTCCTTCAGCAGCGGAATTTTTGTCTGCAATTCTAACCTCAGATAGTAGAGGAAAATTTCATTTTGGATATTTATCACCTAAAAATTTTGTTTGAGTTTATTTATTGCCGTGAATATACATATTTTTTTCTTCAGGATGCAGTTTTAGACCAGTGTATACGCTGGATTAACAACCAACAATCATATGCATCGTCTCATCTTATAACTCAGGCGGCGCTGCCACAGAGCTGACCAGTTGGACAAGATGCGCGGGCTCGTATAAGCTAATCAGTGAGAACAACCCGACGCAGGATAAAAACAGAATGCATTTTACTGTGAAAGATCTCTGCACCAAGTATGGTACGGTTATCAGCATTATTGAGGTGCCGCTTTTCTAATGATCTCACGATTATTTCACAGTGCGTGCAAAATAGCGGATGTGTGTATGTGGAATATTTGTTTGCTAATAAGATTATTTTAAGCATTAAATTAACTCGGATCATTGCCTGCTAACTAAATAGCGGCTACAGAATTGTGTGTGTCTGTCTTGGGCTCGCAAAGATGAGTGAGAAGCAGCCTGCATTAATACCCGAACAGCCTTCATTGTTAACATTGCAAGGCAAGGAAGACTTCGGATAAATTGAAGCACCCGTTGTGTGTTTTTTTTCAAATTATCAGGCGTCTATCTACGTCCTCTTAGCTTCTTGAAACTGTCCGGCCACCAGCAAAAATCTTTATAAAATTCCCAAAAACATCCCCTAAGTTGCTATAATAACAATACTCACGACGTACGTGGAAATGAATTGCCTCCTTTCACCGGACAGAGTAAAAAAAAATCATATGAATTACCTTTAGCAAGTTTATTTTCTTGTATAAAAATCAGTAATACTAGTATCGAAATAATTAAATTGCACAAAAATATGATTAGCTAAGTATGTGGGGTGTTTTTAGAGTAGGTACCGTTTTTAAAATTACGGTGCCACAGCGTAATTAATCTGCTGGGCGCCATGTAGCCACATCTGTTGGGAAAATCCAGACGCCATTACGAAACCATCGAATCGAGTCTACATTTGTTTACCTGATTTTAATATGCATCCACCTACTGAGAATCCCACCGAATGCGAAGTCTGTGCGTTTTTAGTGCTCAAAGTTTCATATTAGTTGACATTCATCGTTATATCAGTGAAATGTGAAAACTTTAAGGAATTGTACAGAAATGGGTTACAGGGTCTTTAAAAATTGCTGCACAAACATTCATGCTGAGGAACGAAGGGACAGACTTTCTGTCATTACCGATAATCTGATTCAAACACTAGACTATAAAGTTAAAGAGTACAGACGATTCACATTTTCGTTCTTCTAGCTGTAAAGTTTCCTGTCGTCTAAAAAATTTTCGTTCATCACGAAATCGTCTAGTCAGGTTGCGGAAAGATATTTGCCAATGGCAGACAAAAGCACACAAGCTGGTGCCAAGATACGATAAATGCCGCAACGTTAATGCGAATAATGTACAAAAGTGGAGAAAGGTATGACTGAAATGAATTATAAAAAATTTTTGTTTATTTTTTAAGCGAAAACGGTACTTCTTTTGAAAACACGCTTCGTGTTTAAAAGCGAAAAATTACTACATATTCCCCATATTTCCTTTTATAAAGTTATGATGACAGCTCCTTCACCTGTTCATGAACGCATAGAATAAAACCTATACTAATCAATAAGATGTCTGAATTGACCCCTAACTGATTAAGATACAAATTACCCTATTAACCGATCAAGTTATACGAAGCAGTAAAACTTTATTGGTCAATCTTAGTTGTAATCTTTTCCGTGTGAATTCAGTCGTTCTATTAATAAAGTTTTTTACTGATGATGTAACTGAACCGCGAAACCTTGTCAAGGAAAATATGATAGTGTTTTCTTTGCATTTTTTTACTTCTAAATAAAATTTGTTATAAATTTCGCAATATTTGTAATCATTTATATATTCAGGTATTTGATGAAAATTTCTTCCTTGATATTTGTCAGCTACGTACAGGGGTTAGACAAAACAAGGGAAACGCCTGAGAAATCCACAAAATATATTTTAATATGGTGTAGGTCCACCTTTTGCGGCAATTACACCCTAAATTCTCCGAACTATTGATTCGTACCAATTGTGAATTATTTCCAAAAGAACTTCAGTTAAAACTTCCTCCAGCTCCTTTAAAGACGATGGCTTCTAACTTGTAGCTCTAAAATTGGCAATAAATGCTGGATAATATTCAGGTCTGGTGATTGTGGTGGCCACATGAGATGCTTAACTTCATTAGAATGTTCCTCGTGCCATTTTTATATTATAATTCCAGCTGTATGGATCGGGGCATTATCTTCCTCAAACATGGCGTTCCCCCGAAAACAGTGTTGAACCATTGGATGAACTTGGTCCTCTAAAAATCCTGAATAGTCACAGCTGTCGATTCTTCCACGAAGAGATATCAGTCGTCCACTTTATTTTCAAGAAATAGCACCCCAGATCATCACAGATCCCCGGCATGTTTTACGGTTGCTAGGAGGCAGCCGGGATTAAATGACTCTTTTGGCTCTTTGACTCTCTCCAAACGTATAAACTCGGTAGGAGGTTGGAAATAAGGTAACCGATGATTCGTAGCAGAACATCACCGTTTTCCACTGCTCGAGAGGCTATTTCTGGATGTTTTTACACCACTCCAATTAAACGCTTTGAAGTATTTGTCTTTAAAACCAGAGGTTTTCTAATTGAAGCTCTTCAATAGAATCCAGATTTGTGTAGCTCTCGTCTGATAGTCATTATAGAATCTGGGTTCTGTAGATTTCTATTGAGGTTTGCAGTAAATTTACCAGCCGTGGTCTTTCGATTGTCCCTCAAAATTCGATTTAGGTACCGACGGTCTCTCTTAGACAACTTCGATTTTCGGCCAGACCTGTGCTTTGCCGAGGACGTATTTCCTTCTCTTTCAAAAACAGTTATTACTTTTGAGACAGTACCTCTAGAAACGTCAGGTATTCGGGAAGTTCTGTCACACTAGCACATGCCATACGAGCATAAACTATTTTGGCCTCTTTGAAAATCAGAGAGGTTTGCCATTGATAGGTTATAGGTTAGGTTATAGACAGAATTTTTTTTTTAAATATCTGTGCAAAGATAAAATATCAATTAGCAGCATTTAACAATGAGACAAATAATATGCGTTTAAAAATTACTTGTACAACGCTTTTTTTAAAGACAACACTTTTAAAGAATCCAGTGTCTTAGATGTTACACATATACAATGATTTTCTAATTTTATTTTCAAATATAAAAAAAAAATAAAATCAATTTTCAAATTTTTTATACCCAAAAAAATTTGTAAATGTTAAATATTATTTATTCTGTCAACTGACTCATGAACTGTCTCTGATTTTATGCAAGTGTGCACAATTTCAGATCGATTGGACAGGTAGAAGTGTGTCAAATATGAATTATGAGATTTGTAGAAGACAAAATAATTGTTATTTTTTATATATTTAAAAATATGTATTTCTAATTTTAAATTTATTCTGTCAATTGATTCATGCATTGTCTCCGACTTTACGCAACATCGAGTTTGCAAAACTTTAGATCGATTGGACAGGTAGAAGTATGTTAAATATCGATTATAAGATTTGAAGCAGACAGACAAACAAACAAGATGTAAAAATACGTCAGGTTTTTATTGTTTATAACATGTTCACAAATTACGACATCAAAATATAGGTGATTCTCTCATTTTGCCCAATCCCTGTATATCTTATGGAGTTATTTCGTGCTACGAATATAATTGAAGATATTTTCTGTTCAACGATAAAATTCGTGAACCGTGTCTGTTGTATTGAGAACTGACTCTCATTTACATCCTCTCCATGTACAGCTTACACAAAATCTCAGAACTAAATTGATTACGACTCCAAATTTGACCGAGCAATCCAACTAATGGTGTTATTGACATCCAAAATTGGTAGTTCCCTCCTTCGGACGTTGGAATTACGTAACACGTCCTGTTTGACGAAGATTAGATCATGCGTATAAGGCCTGTTGAATTCCATGTAGTGTATGTAACCTTTGGACTTCATGAGGTCTATCAGAGCAGGCTTCCCTTCTGGGATGAGGTTGTACTCCACGGATAACGTCTGAAAGGAAGCAATTCACAAGCATGCATTAGATCCCTATTTTCACAAATAAAAATTGTCTCATCTAAAACACTTGTTTGAAACGCAACACGTTTTTCATATAAGTGATGAACATCTTAATGAATGAATTTATTGCATATGAATTCGGTCAATCGAATTGGCAACGTTTGAGCGAATATTGCATTAGAGCGAGTGCAGGTTTCACCTTGATATCGAGCTTGTCCCAGGGGATGGACTGCAGGACTTTGTACTCGGAACTCTCGACGTCGAGGCTGAAGTAGTCGACGGTGGTGGTGCCCAGTGCGAGTAGAAAAGAGTACAGCGGAAAACATTTAGCGTTGCTCAGGTCTAATGAATCGCCCGGATTGCTTAATTCTTGATGATTGTATATCCTTCCTACGTATTTTTCATTCATAAACACCACCTGAATTGAACAAGATATTATTACTAATAATTACAGAGCAAAAACAATGTTTTTCGTTAGTTTCATGGTCATCTTCACTCATGCTAGGAGTGACAGCCTTATATATTAGTATTTATTTACTGAAACAAAAAATGTTTCATGTCGTGCGTATGCAGGTATGAATATTCCCTTGTAATATTCCCGTCATTTTCTGCTACGTTACGATGCGTCTGCACAACATATTATTAACATAAAGGTAAAAGGTTTAAAGGTATGTTACATCTGAACTAAGTACTGGTTTTGTCTTTTTTTAGGCATTCCCTGCTATTTTTGTTTTAATATCACGCACCTATTCTGCCTCCCAGCTCCACTCTCTTTCTACATGCGATTCATCATATTTTTGTATACCATTTAACTCGATATGTTTTCAATTCAGCTGGGGTCATTTGCTTTTAAAATCTTTTGCAACCGAAAACCTCGCTTTTAGTCATTATAATTTACATCCGGCCATTGGTGGGCGTGGCAGGGGTGTCAACCTGTCTCTTATACACATCTAGATGTGTATAAGAGACAGGCTTCAGATAGTCTAGGAGGATTCATATACCTGCATCCATTCCCGTCACATCTCCAGCATATTGATCATAATTTAATTAAATCATTATCTTCGCCCAACTAGTAGTTCACTTGTATTTATTCACATGAACAAGCCTTAAGTGCAGTTAATTTAACTTCAGCCGGCACAGCATCAGCAGCTCCTTAAAAGTTCTACCTCTCTTCCTAATTACTGCTTCACTATCTTTTTGTTTGAACGAATGTGCTATTTTTTTCTTAAATTTATTTACGCTCTGTATTTAATTATTCTATAGTACTCTATAGACAAATCAAAAGCACAACGTGTTCAGACTAGCTATTTAAGTGTACTGCCGGTAATTTCGGCCTATCTTAAATGTGAAAGAACTTCACCACCCCTAACCCTTTCGCAATCTGTCTTGAACGCATAAATAAACGTGCAGAGATAGATGCTTTTGGTACCGTTAGATGCGTCAGAATGTAAGCTTTAAGAGGTGTATAAAACCGAATAAAATATACGTTTGAAAATTACTTTTTAAAGACAACACTTCTAAAGAATCCAGTGTTTCTAATGTTGCAGATGTACAATGAATTTCTAGTTTCATTTTCGAATATTAAGAAAATTGAATTTTAATTTTTTTTAATATATAATTTTCTTCAAATTATTTATTCTGTCAATTGATTCGTGCATTGCCTCCAACTACACACAAGTGTGCAAAATTTCAGGTCGATTGGACAGGTAAAAGTGTGTAAAATATCAATTAAAATCTTTGTAGCTGACAAAATTATTTTTCAGTTTTTTTAATATTAAAAAATGTATTTTTAAAATTATTTATTTTGTCATATGATTCGTGCATTGTCTCCAACTTTTCGCAAGTGTGCAAAATTTCAGATCGATAGGATAACTAGAAGTGTGTTAAATTTCGATTATAAGATTTGTAGCAGACAGACAGACAAACAAGAAGTGAAGTTAAAGAGAAGTGTTGTAATAATAAAAACTAGCATTGAACGCGATCGTGTCCATTTGCAGATGTGAATCAATCTGCACCATTTTACATTGTGACAGTATTAGATTTTCATAATCAATTCAGTAAAGATTTTTTGTGGCCAATTATTTTTCCGTCTTCTTTAAATTTCCGTCATGAGAAGAAAACTGCAAAGCCTGCTCGGTCCCCTTTAGTCTTCCTACAGCAGACTATCTACTGACCTGGCCCAGAGCACATCTTACGCTACCGCTCTACTCCACCTGCCACACGCGCTTACCTGAGACGGTTGACGGCCGCGGAGCATTACCTGTGGAGACTGTCCCGGAGTCTACTATACCTGGAGTCCCTCATTGTACTTCGATCCTACGAATTACTCGAGGTACGGGAAAGGGTTGGCCACTTGATTTCTGGCCTTCAGCCAATACTATTTTGGGGACTCTAAGGAACCGGATTCAGTAAACTCTTTTTTACACTTATTGGGCTCGCCATCCAGTAGTGTGATGAATTTAATTGCTCGAATATTAACCTATACTTTATGTTCCTTTAAATATATTCAGTTTCCGCTTCTGTAATTTACAGGGAACCTGTGAGTGTGCGAGAGATCGGTCGACGGTCAGCTGAGCTCTGGCGTGGTTGATTTATTTGCCATTCTCTCTCCGAATAATAAATATTGTTAGCTATTCTACTTTGCTTGCCCCACTTCATTCCTGGAAACAGCTGATAATTCACTGATAGTTTAGAGGTTAAAATATAGATTCCTCGCGGCATTCCAGAGTTCATTTAGATTCTATATGGCTTTACGACCCATAAGACTAACTGGAATAGCTGGCGCGAAACAGCAATCTAGATCGTGGTTGACACCATAGTACAAATTGTAGGGCTCGGTGGAGGGAGGCACGATCACGTGCTGGCGGATGTACTCGATCAATCTCGGGTCATCCGCTTCTAGACCCGAAAAATCTAAGACATTAAAAACAATATCAATTCTAATTTGTTCTTCTTCACGTTTCGATTTGTCCCTCAATTTCTTGCGTTCGAGATATCAGAACGAATATAAATCGAGCAGGGGTGGTGGGGGCTTCGATTTTTCCCTCAATTAAATACTTTTCTAAAAAGTTTGACGTGTTGTAAGGCTGCCATTGTATGATTTCTATATGTCATTTTCCTTCTTTGTGTCTGCCTCAGAGTGGTCGCCCATAAGAAAAAAATTCGTTGTTGCTCTCCTTTGCAATGTCATGAGCCGTGCAGGCGCTATTTTTTTTATTACAGTTCATTATGAAACTCCGAAAGAAGTTATATGCGAGAAAAACACCAGGAGAAAGATGAGGCTAAATACAACCATGAAAAAGTTATGATAAAATGAAAAAAAAAACTATATCTGTACACTTCTAAAACGTATCCGAAGATAAATTTACAAAACGAATTAAACATGATGTGATATTAGCACGATTATTAAACCTTTCCTTAAATCTTACCTATGTTTTCGAACAAAATTGCAAAACACGATTAAGAGCGCTACAAAGTATTATAATTTTTCCGCGTTTCATACAAATAAATATTTCTGATTGATAAGATACATTCGGTTTAGTACTACAAAAAAAGTAATCACGCATTTATAGTAGTTCCCTTCAGCTCGCCAACATGTTTTTAATTGAATATTTTGTCATTTCCAACAGAGTTTCTCTAGCTCAATGCTCTGCATTTAAGTTTAAATGGACATTTTACAAGTCTTCATATCTTTTTACACATCAAGATTACATTACTTCAGATTTTATGCTTGCGCGCAATTTTATATATAGTGTAAATTAAAACATAATTTTTGTAAAATGCATTGTGTGGTCTTCAGCTTACCTTCTTAACAATTAAAAATATTTATATATATTATTTGCGTTCGTTCTAATTAAATGTCACCTACTTTTGAAATTAACACAGAGAAGGAAGCAAAGTGAATGAAATTCAGTATTTGACGAATACCACTGAATATCGTAAGAGCATGGCGGGAGAGACAATCGAGCAGGATTTCAAATAATCAATCATTATTAATTCATTGGAAAAACTTTGTCGTGAACAAAAGATGGTCAACTGTCTCATATGCATTGCTAACTTTCTTGATGAAGTTGTGGTGTCGTACTTGATGGTTACTCGACTTAGTGTTCCACAAGTCTCAATCACCTACACGTAAGCTTCATAAGTGCATGCGATCTCCGAGTGCCGTGTTGAAGCAGTAAAGTATTTCTGAATTTTTTGAATTTGGCTGCTTCAAATTTTAACAGTTCAGAAATTTTTGAAGAAAAGTTAGCCGAGAATTTTCGTACCTGGAAATCCGAGCTAAAATTATCGGTTGTTTATCGTAAATTTGATTTGACGACAATTTTACGTTACAAGCTCTCAATTTTAAACTAAATAAATAATCTCAAGTATTGTTATAAACATGTTACTTTATTCATAGCATTCCATCTATGTTAGAATAACAACTCTAATATAATCGATAATTTAATCCACTAGCTGTAAACTGATTCGGGTTGAAAAAAAAATTAATTAAAAAATATCGCCTTTACTTCCCACATGATTCAATATACAGTGAAAACGGAACAACACGATCTCGATCGTTGTATTGAAATAGTTAGTGCTGGTTTTACTCCACAATGTTAAAAATATTATTTATGGAGGATCATGCAAATCATCTTACCTTCATCCTCAGGCGGCGCTGCCACAGAGCTGACCAGTTGGACAAGATGCGCGGGCTCGTATAAGCTAATCATTGAGAACAACCCGACGCAGGATAAAAACAGAATGCATTTTACTGTAAAAGATCTCTGCACTAAATATGGTACAACCTTCAACATGATTGTGATGCTGATATTATCCAATAGGCCCGTAAATTAGCGAATACATATGGGTAAATATCTCTCCGGTGATAGGATGATCCTTCGCATGAAATGAACTTGGACCATTATCTGCTAACCAAATATAAATTACAGATATATAGGTGTGCCTGTCTTGGGTTCGGAAAGGTAAGTGAGGAGCGTCCTGCATTAATGCCCTAGCAGCCTTCATTAATTATATTGGTGGACGAGGAAAGTTTGAAATGAATTGAAGCAGCCGCCATGTTTTGCTCGAATTATCAAGTTGTGGCCTATCAGGGTGGAAAAGCAATGTTTTCCCGGTATAATAAACAATTATTTATGGTAAAATTTAGATTGATCTTGGAATACTTTTTCCGATTTTATTTTTGCTGTTTAGTGAGAACAATATCAGCTAAAAGCCGTAATTTTCCATTGATACTTGTCATAAAAAGTAAACTTTTTGCTGACGAATATGCCGAACTCATTCAACCTAATTGATAGATAATTTAGAATGATTTGAAACTAGAAAAGGGACTGGATAGCGTTATAAATAGCTTCAAGAGGCACACTGTACTGATTAAGAGTGTAACTACATCGTGGAGCATCGATCTTCCA